TAGAAGGCAACAAGGTCCAGACCAGAGCCCAAGGTTTTTGTTAAACACTATACAATATTTGCACAGTGAAGATGCTGCTTTAGCCACTAATAAGCTTCATGGACACAAACAAACGTATCACATACACAGGGCAAGTACTCCTCCTTTGGCAAGGCTGCCACATAATCTTTTAAAAACTCAGGAAATAAAAAGCCATCTCTTCATTAAATATCTGCACTACACTCAGGACAGCCTCAGACCAAAGCTAAAGCTGATTTTGAGTCATCTGCAAAGGTGTGTGTTTTCACAGCAGCAGTACCAATAAGTAGTATCCCTCAATAGCATGATGGGCTGTTTCCACCAAAGCTACCACTGAGAAAACCCCATCTCTCAAGCCCATTTCACAAAGGGAAAACATGTCTAGGATTCTTGTCCTACATTTGTTTTTTTATCTAACTTATGCCCCACCTTGTTGCAAAAATATTTAAAGCAGGCTGGGCGTGGTGGCTCACACCTGTAATTCCAGTACTTTGGGAGGCTGAGTGGGGGAGGATCACTGGAATTCAGGGGTTGGGTGCTGCAGTGAGCATAATTTCAGCATAACACTCCAGCTTGGGTGATAGAGTGAGACTCTGTCTCAAAAAAAAAAAAAGGTAAGTAGGAGTAGTTAGACAATTCTCAATTATTCAAGATGGTTTTTCAATGTATAGATTTGCATATTTTATCTACTCCAGTTTTGTTCCCCCTCCCATCCCTACCTCACAAGTGTACAAGCATCTATAATCCAGATATAAATTTGTTATATTCTTCATATGGTCAAACTCAGGAAAAAAGGCACAAGGCAAAGTAAAATTCTACTTAATCGCATACATAATTCCTTTCCTATTAGCACCTACGTTGGGCCAGGTTTAGGTGGGCTCCAGGTTTATGGAGATGTCAAATAGGCAGGAGAGCAGTGTGAAAATGTTAAAGACTGGGGATGGGAGGGTCCTGCTGATGGAATGCCTGTATTTCACTCTATCCTTCCTGCATCTCAAACTAAGTCTGTGACCCTGGAATCACTTGTCCAGGTCTCAATGACTCTGTCAAAAAAAGATCATATTGGGAAAAGCAAAGAGGTCTGGAAATGGAAGTACTTTAGCTTCATCATGTAAGAGATCATTTTAATGTGGACAATCCTTCTCTGAATTATTCAGTAGGGACTAGTTCTGCAGGATAAATAGTTTGTTTACCAGATCCTGGCCAGCAAGAACAAGCTCACTCCCTGATTCTCCAGGTAGCACCATGGGTGCCTCTTTAAGATAACAGCCCTGAAAATGTTTTCAGTTTAGAGTAAACATGGTTAAGGTGCTTTCTCTCTTTTCTAAAGACATAAACGATTTTTTGATTTTTTTTATTTTTGAGATGAGTCTCGCTCAGTAGCCCAGGCTGGAGTGCAGTGATACAATCTCTGCTCACTGCAACCTCCACCTCCTGGTCCCAGTTCAAGAAATTCTCCTGCCTCAGCCTCCTGAGTAGCTGGGATTACAGATATGCGCCACCACACCCAGCTAATATTTTCAGTACAGATGGGGCTTTACCTTGTTGGCCAGGCTAGTCTTGAACTCCTGACCTCATGATCTGCCCACCTCGGCCTCCCAAAGTGCTGGGATTACAGGTGTGAGCCACGGTGCCCAGCCAATATTTTAAGTTTTTTTTTTTTTAAGTTGAGACAGGGTTTCACCGTTGTAGCCAGAATGGTCTCAATCTCCTGACCTTGTGATCCTCCTGCCTCGTCCTCCCAAAGTGCTGGGATTACAGGCATGAGCCACCTCGCCTGGCCCCGATTTTTTTTTTGAGTTTTTAACAGAGGGCTTTCCTACTCTGAGCTATTTCACTAATGAATGGTAAACTACTTTACTATTGTCTTTTTAAATATTCAGCATATTACCTGACCCAGAATATTTCTGAGATCTGAACCACATTCTTCTCTTGCATACTAGTTGTCACTGTCAATACACATGTAAAATCATAACAGGATAGGCTACAACCCAGACAAACCATCAGCCTATAAAAAAGAAGGCTAAACCATAACCTGCTTTTCAAGCCCCCACCCCCTCCCCACCCCTGCCAGTCATAAGACCTATCTAAGTAACCTCACAGTGGGAAAATCCATCTTAGGTGGGCCCAGATATCACAATCCCAAAGACAGGAGTGGAGCAAAATAGGTTTTAAAGGATTGTCGCAAAACTGAAGATTCTAGAAGCTAAGGAGAGTCTACATAACCATGTTCAGTGCCCAACTACCTGAAAAATGAACTCCAGGGAAACTTTGTTGTTGTTATTCCCCGCTCCCCCAGCTCCCCACCACCCAGGGAAACATTTTATCCTTAATATTCAGGAGCAATAATAAAATATTTTGGCCACTGTTCCCTAATGGATTCCACAAGGCACTCAATTCTCATTTCAGGCTTTCAAAATGCTTGCCCTGGAAAGTGTCACTTGATGGTTCACACACTCCTTGAGGATTAGGTGCTAACCCTAATTAGGCACAGGCAGAAATAGTTCAAGAATCCACATGCTCAGATTCATAACTATACTTTTTTGTAAAAAATAAAAACATTAAAAAAAATGCCTTCTGGCTGGGCAAGGTGGCTCACGCCTGTAATCCCAGCACTTTGGGAGGTTGTGTTGGGTAGATCGAGTGGTGAGGCCAGGAGTTAGAGACCAGCATGGGCAACACGGTGAAACACCATCTCTACTAAAAATGCAAAAATTAGCCAGGAGCGGTGGCGCTGGCCTGCAGTCCCAGCTACTTGGGAGGCTGAGACATGAGAATTGCTAGAGCCCAGGAGAGGCTGCAGTGAGCTGAGATAGCACCGCTGCACACAGGTCTCCCCAGCCTGAACAACAGAGAGGCTCTGTCTCAAAAAAATAAAATAAAATGCCTTCTAGTGATGCTTAGAAGTCCAAAAACCAGGTAACTATGGCTTCCACTTCCATTTTTCAGATATCCATTATAGTTCTACTCAACTTCAAAGTGAATTTTATTGTCCACACAAGCAATTTCACAACTCCCAGAGTCCAAGCCTACAAGACCCTTCCCACCAGGTACTTTACCAAAAACGGGCTTTATCTCCATCTTCCTTTCTGTCACAGGTAAAAAACTGCCTTTCCTAATTAAGCCAACCTACTTCTTTTTTCTTTTTTTTTTTCGGATGGAGTCTCGCTCTGTCGCCCAGACTAGATTGCGGTGGCACAATCTTGGCTCATTGCAATCTCCGCCTCCCAGATTCAAGTATCCTCCTGCCTCAGCCTCCCAAGTAGCTGGGACTAAAGGTGCATGCCACCATGCCTGGCTAATTTTTTTTACATTTTTAGTAGAAAAGGGATTTCACCATGTTAAACAGGATGGTCTCCATCTCCTGACCTCGTGATCCAACGGCCTTGGCCTCCCAAAGTGCTGGGATTACAGGCGTGAGCCACTGCGTCCACCCAAGCCAGCCTACTTCTTACCTCAATAAAATCCTTGTTTTTCAATAGCACGTACAGTATTTCCAGTGATGAACAGTGAACTGCCTTTCGTCTCACACAGTAAACTCCATGAAAAACATCCACTTTGTTCTTTACTGCATATTCCTGGTATGCTAACTGCATAATCACGGACAATTTTAAGTGACTCAGGCAGGCCGGGAGCGGTGGCTCACGCCTGTAATCCTAGCACTTTGGGAGGCCTAGGTGGGTGGATCACCTGAGGTCAGGAGTTCGAGGCCAGCCTGGCCATCATGGAGAAACCCCATGTTAAAAAACAAAACAAAACAGAATAGAATACAACAGAACAGAACAGAATAGAATAAAACAGAATTGAACGAATGAATAAATGAATGAGTGAATTTTCGGGAACAAAGGAAAAAATAAATAAATAAATAAATAAATACTCAGGCAAAGAAAGGCAAGAGGGCAAATAGCAGGATACAGGAGACCAATGCTTTTCAAGCGTTTCTCACTGCTACCTACAGAAACACACTGTAGAACACCTACGATACACTCACACGTGTGTGTACACCTGATGCAAATGTCAAATGTTGTCTTACTAAGTGCAACACCATCTTATATTTTCTATTTCATTTTTTTAAAGGCCGTGATCTAATTTCCAACTCACCAATAGGATTCACTTTGAAAAACACTGCAAATAAATCAAACCTTACAGTTGCATTCCGAAAGCTACTAAAGATCCCTTGAAAAACCAGCATACAGCAGAGAAGCTGACCAACTATAAGATCCAAACTCGCCAGGTAGGCAATGTCCTTCTGTCCAGCAGTGGCAGTTCCCAGCACCAGCCGCCCTGGGAGTTAAGTATCTCCCTAACTCCCAGAGTTTCCCAAGTACCCCAAGATGTCTGTCATATACCCTGTTAACCTCTTTATAAATTCAGTCCCATCCATCTCTTATGGTGGCAAAATTCATTTATCGTCCGCTGTGGAAAGCATACTTCCTTTTTGTCCCCTCCAGGAACGAGAAATTAAAATACCAAGTTGGTGCCCGTTGTGCCTTTGTGATCTTATTTGTGTGGGTGATACATAGAAATCTGACTCTCAGTCTCTCCATCTTTCCAGTCTTAATCACTGGCAGAAGCAGTCTCCAGTGAAATGAGAAACCAGGGAACCCCCTGGCCTGGGGGAGGGCGCACTCATCAGCGTGACAGAGTGAAAGCAAGAACTCACTCCACACACCACAGAGGCGTCTGGCTAACTCATCTCCAAATCCAAGTTGTGAAAGGGGAGGGCGGCGCGGACAGTGGAGGAGACGCGCCGGAGTGACCTGCGGCGGCTGGACGCAGCCAGACCTCCCCAGTACTGCTCTGCAACCCCGGGAAAGCAGGTGAGCGCGGGCCGCGGACTGAGGAGTCGCAGAAGCCGCCCATGCAGAGCAGAAGGAAGGAGAGTCCGAGTCATGGGCCTCCCCTCCCCGTTGGGACCCCTCCCACTGACCCTCTCCCCCAAAGGGCCCACAAGCCTCCCACTCTGGCCTCTCCTCACTCACCCGGGGGAGTGGGCCTCCCCTACTGGAGAGAAAGGAGGAGGCGAAGGAGAGAATTAGGGGCTTGACGCCCACCACCGCCCCCCGACAAACCGCTCTCGCCACACGGGAAAATCCCGCAGCGGGACCCACCGGCCAAGCGCCGCCTTAGCCCCACGCGGCCTCCCCTCAGCGCCTGCGCTACAGGGCCAACGCGGTGGACGCGATCTGAGAGTGCGCGCGCGCGCGCCTTGCGTGCGCCGGCGTGGGGGGCGGGCCCTGCGGAGCTCCGCCCCCTCCTCCTCCCTCCTCCCGCTCCCCCCCCCCCATACACTGCCGCGGCCGCCGCAGGAGCCCGGAGCTCGAGCCGCCCAGTGACTCCCCCTCCCCCTCCCCCAGCCCCGCCCCGCCCCAACCCGGGGCTCCGAGCTGGAGCCGAGTCTGCGCCTGGGGGTGAGTACGCGACCCCTCCCCTGCCCTCGCTCTTTTCTTCGAAGATCTCACCACCACCCAAAGAAAAAACCTGGACTCAGCTGCGCGTCCCCTCCCTTCAACCTCCTGCGGGACCCAGAGGTGCCCGGGCCCGCGGGACTCAGCGGTAGTGCGCGCTGCCCCCAACCCCGCACCATCCCAAGCCAAATGTGAGTCCTCCACCGGCTGCCGGAGGTCCAGATACGCGCCGCCCGCTCTCCCTAGCCCCGGGGAGATCCCAAGGGGTGGGACCCCCGCCCCCGGCCCCCGAGTGCCACTCTTCTCCCACCTGCCCGGTGCAGGTGCGCGTCCCCAGAGGTGCGCGCCCCTCGGAGGTGTCAGCTGCGCCCCCCCGCCCGCTGCCGCTGTAGAGAACTAGCGGCCCCCGCCCCCGAGTTTTGGATCCCGGGGTCGCCAAGTCCGATGCCCTCGATCTCTTTTATTTTTTCTGCTGCTCCCGGCGGCTAGTACACCCGAAGCCGGCCCGGGGAAGGGGCTCGGGCTCGGGCTTGGGTTCCGGCAAGGGCAGGGTTCGCAGGTGCTGGCACGAGGCCGGCCGCTGCCCCTGGCCGGTCTGGGGACTGAATGGTCGGCGGGCTGGGGAGGCGGCCGGACCCAGGAGCGTGTCCTCTCCTTGCGCCCCACACAGTGCAGTTCATTCATGAGCCGCCCGGGCCTGCGTTGGAGGGTGCGGTGGGGAAAAGATTCAGACACGGAACCGAGAGTGGGGCAAAGGCCCTGTTGGGGGGAGGGGGCGCCGCTTTGTCACTCTTGGCTGTCTTGACTGTTTAGGGGGAACAGTCCCAAAGCTTGGCGTCTTGTTCCCCAGAAAAGGAAAGGACGCCTGGGAAGTGGGGAGGAGAGGTCAGAGGGGCTGGCTGCCCTTGGGGCTCTGTGCTGCCACCTGCCTGGGTCCCCTAGGCAGAGGTCTGGCCGCTCAGGGCAAGCCTGAACACTCCACTGCTCTAGGGGCTGGGGCTTCCCTACCCAATACCGGTCTGCAGCAGCCGGGGAGCAATGAGGCTGTGTGTGCCCAACACCTGCTGAAGAGGGGCCCTGCCTCCCACGCCAGGGTGAGGAGGGGAGTGGGAGTGTGCTGGCAGCATGATTGTCCTCCAGGGCACCAGAGGGTCCAGGCCCTGGCATGCCCCAGGTGGCACATGCTGGGGCCTGCTGTTGGCTCACTCAGTGCAGTCTCAGCCTGTGGGTGGGTGGGGACATGGCAAGGTAGAAGGCAGGCGGTGGGTAACTAAGAACCCCCTTTGGACATCATACAAGTTCCCTTCAAGTATAGCAGAGTCTTAGAGACCTGGGTTCAAATTCTACCTCTACCATTCTTCAGCTATGTGACCTTGACAAGTTACTTAACCTGTCTGAACCTCAGTTTCCATTAAAAAACTGTTTAAGCCTGTAATTCTGGCACTTTGGGAGACTGAGGTGGACAGATCACCCGAGGTCAGGAGTTCGACACAAGCCTGGCCAACGTGGTGAAACCCCGTCGCTTCTAAAAATAAAAAAAATTAGCCCCACGTAGTGGCACACACCTGTAATCCCAGCTACTCGGGAGGCTGAGGCAGGAGAATGGCTTAAACATGCGAGGCAGAGGTTGCAATGAGCCGAGATTTCACCACTGTACTCCAGCCTGGGTAAGACAGTGAGACCCATCTCTTAAGAAAATTCATATTGAATATTTGATATTTAGGGAAGAATTATGGGATAATCTTTGTTAGATGTCCATGGTTACAAGGAATAAAAATCTAGATGATGGGTTGAGAGCTGCAGTAAAAAACCATGGCACATGTATAAAAAAAAAAAAAAAAAAAAAAAAAAAAAAAAAAAAAAAAAAAAAAAAAAAAAAAAAAGTGTGGTTACTACCACCTCTTTACAAGGTTTATCATGGGGATCAAACAGACAAGGTAACAGAAGTAAAGAGCTTGGCATCCTGCCTAGTAGTTGATTAATAATGGGTTATCGCCTCTGAACTTCTGACCCATCATTCTCCCATGCCCCCACCTCCCAGGCTGCCGCAGATGGATAGGGTATGTTTGAAGAGTGAGACTATTTCATGTCACTCAGTGGTCTAGTCCCTAACACAGTGTAAATTTAGGTCTAAATAAGAAGCCCAACATGACTGAGGGACTCTGTCGCATTTCTATCCTGTTAAATTCTGTGTTTTTATCTTATTTCTATTTTTACCAATTTTCTTTCTCTAAATCAACCCCTTTTATTCCACACCGTATTAATAACAATAGCTAATTTCTGGAGCCCATTATATGCCTTGAACTATATTAAGAGTTTTACGTAAGTCATCTTGTTTAATCCCCAGAACAACGACACAACTGGATTATTGTCCTGTTTTACAAATGAAGAAACTGAGGCCCAGGGTGACTAAGTAATTTGTCCAGGTTAGAAGCCTGGTCTGTCACATCCTAGAGTCTGTACTCTTAACCATCAGACTATGGTGCCTGTCCCCTACACCTGCCTCAGAACCTGAAATCACAAACCCAAGGCTTGAGTGGAAGAAGGCTACAAGCAAGAGGAAAGGCAAGCAGGTAGAAATAGGGTAAGGCATTTCTCCAGAGTGGTAACTGGCTGCCTCCGGCTGCCTTGTGGAAGTGGCTCTTCTGTTTGCAGATATCTCTGCAAAGTGTTGTGGTTAACAGCTCACACTTGAGCCAGGCAGCCTGGGTCCATATCTGGGTCTACCACAGACTGGCTGTGTGACCTTAAGCAGCTCCCATAACCTCTCTGTACCTCAGTGTCTTCCTGGGGTTGTGATGGGGAACAAATGAGTTATATTTGCAAAGTGCTTAGAACAGTGCTTGACACAAAAGAAGAGTTAAAAAAACATTTAATACATGTGTTATTTTACTACTACTTTTTTTTCTTCTTTTTCTGTTTTTCTTTTTTCTTTTTAGACAGGGTCTCTTACCTGTCGCCCAGGATGGAGTGCAGTAGCACGATCTCAGCTCACTGCAGCCTGGAACTCCCCGGGCTCAGGTGATCTCCCACCTCGGCTCCCAGAGTCTGGGACTACAGACGTGCACCACCACACCCAGCTAAATTTTAGCAGGGTATCTTTTGTAGAGTTGGGATTTTGCTATGTTACCCAAGCTGGTCTCGAACTCCTGGGCTCAAGTGATCCTCCCACCACAGCCTCCCAAAGTGCTGGGATTACAGGTATGAGCCGCTACCATGCCCAGCTTTTTTTTTTTTTTCCCCCTCAAGGCAAGGTCTTGCTCTGTTGCCCAGGCTAGAGTGCAGTGCACGATCATAGCTCACTGCAGCGTCCAACTCCTGGGCTCAAGGGATCTTCCCTACTCGGCCTCCAAAACTGCTGGGATTATAGGGGTGAATCACCCCACCCTGCCTACTACTACTTTTATGCTCACTTGTAGACACATTCTTACCTATCCCTCTGAAGCGGGTAGAAGGTAGAGTAAGGATATTCATATCTCTTTATTACAGATTGGAAGACTGAGACTCACATTACATTTAAGTAACAGCTAGTTTCCATCTTCACCTCCTCTCCTCACACCACATGGCCCTGCTTTGATCCCAAGCCCTAACTTAAATCTTGTCCAGTAACTAAAAAGCGTATAATTTGGCTGGGTGCAGTGGCTCACACCTGTAATCCCAGCACTGTGGTAGGCTGAGGCGGGCAGATCATGAGGTCAGAAGATCAAGACCATCCAGGCCAACATGGCAAAACCCTGTCTCTACTAAAAATACAAAAATTAGCTGGGTGTGGTGGCCGGTGCCTGTAGTCCCAGCTACTTGGGAGGCTGAGGCAGAAGAATTGCTTGAACCCAGGAGGTGGAGGTTGCAGTAAGTGGGGATCATGCCATTGCACTCTGGCCTGATCACAGAGTGAGACTCCTTCTCAAAAAAAAAAAAGAAAAAGCCTATAATTTATAGCTCTCCAATCCCTACCATGCACACACTCTTTAATGGTAAAATAAAACCTTAAATTAGCTAGAAATAAAATCCTCCATCACTCTCTGTACACACTTCTAGCTAAAGCCTCAATATCAGACTAGAGAAACTGTGGGTTATCGCTGGTGCAAGCACCTTCTGGAGTGAAAGAACTGCCACCTCCCCTCCCCAAGTTATTCTGCCTCAGTGTCTTCCCTTTTCTCAGCTGCTCAGGCCAATGCTGGCTTTGAGAGCAGCTGCCCTTGATGAAACCCCGCCCCCACAAGGAGTAGCCCTGTCTACCGGTGGAGCTGCCAGCCCAGGCTCCACCCCTTACCTGTCCTGTCACTGCGCAAGTTGCTTCCCCTGCTGGGTTCCTGCTTTCTCCCTGTAAAATGGGGATTGCGATCTGAGTGCGCCCTGCCTTCCTCCCGTGCAGGTGGGAGCATTAATGCAGTTGTGGAGGGGAGAGTGCTTTGTGACCCCAAGGAGGCGGGCAGCAGAGGAGCATGGTGATTTCAGTTACTAAGCATCTAGCTAGACCCACATCCACCCTGCTGGATGGAGGTAGAAGCTTCCAAAATTTTCTACCTTTCTTTGCTGTGGAGAAGACAGGAGGTGATGGGAATGGTACTCTGGGACTTGTTCTCATTTCATTCTGATCTGGTGGAGCCTTGGAATTCAGAGAAACAGGCAAGGGGTGGGAATGGAATGTTGAGATTGCTGGAGTTTATTGGAGTTGAGAATTGAAAAATGGGGACTAGTTAGAGCGCCCCCCCCGACCCAAGATACCTATACCTACCTTTAACCTGCCATAGTGCCCCAGGGTTCTGTG